AAAACAGCTTAGCATTATACCCATTCGTTGTCACACTACGAATTCTCTGCTAAGTAAACGCAATGATTCATATAAAGCCTTAAACTCTTTTAATAAATCCTTTTTAGATTGTAAACGCAGATATCAAACTAATAGTTCAAACCTCAGAAAAGTGAAACATTCAAATAATGGTATAATCAAACGAGAGAAAGTTAAGGAATGGGGCGAATTATCAACCGGACAAAAAGGTATAAAAATATTTTATATTTATCATTATTATTATGTAGAACTTGCTATTAATGTGAAAAAAAAAACAGCTGCAAGAGCTGCTAAGGCAACGACAAATATTAGTGTAATCGTGATAGGAATTAGTGTTTTTGGTTTGTAATTTTCGTAAACCGTTGTTTTTTTCTTAAAAGAGAAGCATTGATATATTTTTTATTAATTATCATGTTTTTAAAACAAGGTGTATTGTTATATTACGTTATGTCGGAACTTTTTGGGCCAAAAAGCTCTACTAAAGTTTTTAATGAATCATTGGAAAAAATTAGAACCAATCCGGAAGTATGTTGGACTTAAATGATTAATATTCAGATATATGAGATGATTTATATTAGGCCTATTAAATTATCAAATTTAGTGCCAGAAGGTTTTAGGTACACCAATAAAAGGTCATGGGATGCCGATTCCAAATTCAAGACTACGTCATCCTAGAGCCCGGTAAGTATTGTCCTAATATAATGTGTTTGATTCTCATTAACGGTTTCTCATTAATCTATCTTCAACACTGCTACAAAATTAAGTCTTCGAGATGTGATAAACACGGATGGCACACCACATCAAATAATGCAATTTTATGTTGAAGGTCCTTTAACTCATGGAAATGCATTATTGGATATGATTAAGGTTGGTTTGTTAAAAAGATTATCTATTCATCAAAAGTCGATTGTGTTTTTATTTTAACATTTTTACCCGATATTAGGACGATCAAGGAAATTGGGTTATAAAATATTTAGTTGTCGTTGTACCTGGTATTTTTTTTAATTATAATCTCCCTTTTGTCTCTTGATATTTTCCTTATCTTGAATGATTCTTTAATGTAGGATATGGTAAACGCATTTATATTGAATACCATGGTGATGTGAAAGATAAAGAAAATTGAAAATAACAGTAAGTATGAATTATAAAGCAATACTTATTTTAAAAATTAATATTCCCTATTTTTTTTTTTCTATGCTTGTATTGTATTCATAGAAGTAATAATATAGACTTTCAGATTAAGATACTTGAAATAATCGTCTGTTCTTATAGCTGATATTTACTCATCTGAGTTTAATCATAATGATAAACTATTAATGTGCATTAAATACATACAGATTCTTCTCTAAATAGTTTTATACCTTCGTTTTAAATCGATAAAGAAAGGATAGAATTCATCAATACGATCGATTCTCAAGATAGAAAAAAGGATTGTAATCAAAGATCAAATTTTTATGCCTCAGCATAAGAGGTGTAATTGTAAATAGATGATATATTGATAAAGACTATGATATCACGTCAACTTTAAGGAGTTTCAGAACCTTTTTGCTTCAAAAAGAGAAAAGAGTAGTCACCTATATACACATAAATCACCTTATCTTATTTCGTTATTATTGTTTTTATTCACTCTTACCATTATATTTTTTGTACTTGCTCGTATTTACGCGTAATAACGCGCAGGGGTGTAGTTTTGAATTTCAGCCTATTCAAAATAACGCCCATGGACGTTGTTACGCGCAAATACGGGTACGCTCTATCTCAATTTGCTGGCAATTATTTCTTGTGTGGAGCTAGTTAATTTTAAGCGTTGTTTTCCTCAATGTATCCAAAAAAGATATAGTATCCGGTGAAATGAATGATGGATGTGCGTGTAAGAACCATAAACATCATTTTTACTATAGTAAACAGTCTAGCTGCATCAAATACTTTGCTGTATCTGGTGAAATGAATGATGAATGTATAAGAACCATAGACATCATTTATTATAGCAAAACAGCCCAGTTGCATCAAATACGTTGTACATTTTAAACTTAAAATACTGTATATATAACAAATATATTGAAAGTATTCACTGATTATATTGTAAAATTGTTACCGGCAGTATTTATTATAAAACGCGAGCTTATGGTGATTTTGTATCTATTATATTTTTTTAAAACTTCTGTTTTATAAGTTTTGTATACTGTATATCTAAAATTTTCGACTAAAAGTTTTATCTTATTAGAATTA